TCAGCAGGACCAGCCATCCATGCCCAGGGTCCGGGTGCCACCCTGTGGTGAGAGAGGAGAACGACGTCTTTAAACTGGGTTTTTGGTCAATTCTAGGTTTGAGAGCTCCTAGTGAATGTGATAAGGAAGGGAGAGCAAAGTCCTCCTGTCTCCAGTCTATGTTATGCCTGGAAGAATGGCTCATTACCCCCAGGGCAGACAGGCTGTGTGGATGACCTGGAAGCAGGCACAGGGCACGGGACACAGCTCTCAGAGGTCTGGCTCTAGGATTGTGGCTGGGAGACCCTCCCAGACACCTGCTCCAAGCACGCAAAGTCTATGCTGGGGGCTTTTTCCAGCTAAAGAGCAGGCAGCAGCCCCCACAGAGACTGCCTGAGCATATGCCCAGACCCACACGGGTAGCCAGCAGAAGGCATGGGCGCGCATGTATAACACCCCTTCTGCCAGCTGCCGGGTGGTGGCAGAAGCCGTCTTTGGCTGGGACAGGGGTGCTGCGTGGGAGCACACTCACAGTATTGCTGCAGCTCTGTCGCATGCATTGGGCCCAAGGTGCCTGGATGGGCTCTCCAAAGGCCGGATCCTGCCAAGGCAGCCTTAGCGCCGCAGGGTTTCCCTAGGTCACTGCCCCGTGTGCTCCAGAATCATTCAAACTGCAAGTCAGTCTCCAGCCCATGCAGGTGCCGAAAAAGGAGGAGATCTTTGAAAGCCTGACCCCAAGTAAACCATCCTGCGGTGCCTGCCTGGGTCTAAAAACAGAGCTCAAATCAGCATCTCTTCTCAAATTCATCCCAGAAAAGGCATCTCTGAGCCCCACTGACAGCAGGGTGAGTGGCTACAGTAGTGATGGACAATTATTTCGGGTGGAGGGTCACTTACTGAGTTTTGGCAAGCCATCGAGGGCCACATGACAGGCAGCCAGGGGCAGATAAATATTACTTTTCTAAAATTTTTAGAGACCCCACGGGCCGGATAAAATGGCCTGGTGGGCCACATCCAGCCCACAGGCCGCATTTTGTCCACCCCTGGGCTACAGCTTCCTCTGCTTCGCAGGAAGGAAAAATGCCCATTCCTTTGTGGAGATCTCCACCACCGGCTCTCAGGGACCTCTTGTGTGGGCATCATGTGAGGCTGGGGCTGACCCTGGGCAAAATCTCCCATGCTTGTATCTGCCCTGTGTTGTGCACAAAACAGTTAAATTCCTCCAGCAAAGCAGAGCTCAGCTCTGTGCTGAAAAGGAGCGTGACTTCCCGGAAAGCAGGGAGGGCCCCTGAGGACACAGCTGCCAATATCCAGAAAAGAGAAAGCGAAAGCACATACTGTGCTGTGCAACACAACGGTTGGGGAAGGAGGAAGCAGAGCACAGACCAGCAGCGGCTGCAGGGGAAGGTAATGCTGGGTTTTCCCTGGGGTACCTCGGGGTCTGTCTCTCCATTTGGGAATCCTGTCTGGCTTCTGTTCTTTGTTTAGCAGATTTTCTGCTCAGCTGCGGTGTGCCGGAGCGGGGAGCTCAGGGCTTCTGCCCCTTGAGACACATCTCTCCTTTGCAAGGTAGGGTGGAGTCAGTTACTTTTCATGTTTATGCAGGAAAGGAGGCTCCCAAATGCCAAGCGGGGTAAAGGCAGGCATGGGTCCATGACTGGGGGTTGGAGGCTAAGGCCAGGGACAGACAACTGAGGTCTAAGAGATGGGCATGGAGCCAGCAGCTGGCTGCACAGCAGAGGTGAGGAGCCAGCTCCAGGGTGCAGGCTGGGGCTCAGGGGCAGGAAGCCAGCAGTGGAGCAGGCTTTGGGGAGGATTGTCCAGGTAAGAGCGAGGGCGTCTTGTGCAAGGGCTCAGCAGAGGGTCGATGGGATGAGAGCTGTATTGCTCAGGTTCAAAGGCAGAATGGCAAGGCACAGAAAAGAGGGAGGAACGGCGGGGAACCAAGGGTGGGAGGGCATGGGCTATGTGGGCTGGAGGCTGATGGCAGGGTGGGCACAGTTTCATAGTTTCATAGTTTTAGGGTCGGAAGGGACCTAATAGATCTTCTAGCCCGACCCCCCGCCAGGGCGGGAGAACAACAAAAGAACCCTAAACAAAAAACGGGACTCAAATGAGTCCAGCCAGGTAGGTATCCAGCCTCTTCTTAAAGATCCCCAGGGTAGGGGCCAGCACCACCTCACTTGGAAGTTGGTTCCAGCTCCTAGCCGCCCTAACTGTGAAGTAGTTAGCCTGAGATGCTTCTCCGGCTGGGGAACAACATGCAGGAGAGCAGGCTGGGAGCTCCTGCCCAGCTGGAAGTGCAGGAGGCAAGTTCAGGAGGGGAGGCCTCTTGCTGCAGAGTGGAGGATGTGGACCAACAGCTTGAAGTTGCAGCCAAGTAGGTTTAGGTTGGACCTCAGGAAACACTTCTGCGCTGTCAGAGCAACAAGGCAGGGAAGGTGTGGATGTCAGCGGTGGGATCCGAATACCCTGCTGTATTTGAGTTTTTAAAAAGGCCGGGGCAGGAAGAAGGGCAGCCATTATCCATGCGGTCATCCAGGTGAATCTGAACCTGGCTCTCTCCTCATCACCGCATGCTGCAAGAGTGCCCTGCCTCCAGAGGAAACAACAAGCACCTCTGGACGATGCGAGTGAGTAACCTACTAGAGATCCGATCAGATATTTAGCTTCAGTAACTCAGATGCGTGTTGAATCGGCTACCTCAGCCACCCTGGTTTGCTCTATGGGATTCCTTTGATATTCCTGTAAGATTTCTATGATATTGCTCTACCTTTTACCCTGTTTCTGCCCTACCCCTGTAATCAATAAAGTTCTCCTTTGTGACCGGTGTGGAGACTTATTGAGGGGTGGGACTAAATTATGCCAAGGAGGCCCCTGAGGTCTGTGGACTAAGGGGGGCTTCCTAATAAGCCCCTGACTTGGGGAAGTGCCCCAAGTGCTTATACTGGGTCTAGCACCCATTGGACGATCAGGCCTGTGTTTTCCAAGGTGCACAGAGCCAGAAGTGAGTCCAGAGCCTTGGATGGTGGCAGCGGGACCCCCAGGCTAGCGGGTGTGCTCCAGGGAAGGGGTCGGCCGGACGGGAGGCACCCCAGGGAGGCACTCGGAGCCTGGAAGGTGGTCGGGCGCAGGGAGGTGGGCGGCTCAACGCAGGAGCGCCCCCTACTGGCCCGCCACAGTGGACCCCCCATTACTGGAGGTGTTTGAGAACCAATTTGTGGCAGTCAGCATCGAGTGGCGCTGAAGCCCCTTTGTGTGACTGCCTCCTCCAGTCCCTTGGGCCCATTAGACCAGACCTTGGCTTATGGGCTTGTCCCTATTGAGTGTCTTGCACCCCTCTGCCTCCGAGCCCCTGGCCCTGGTTTTGGCTCTCTCAGGCTCCTGTCTCTGGACCTTGCCCCTCTCAGGCTCCTGTCTCTGGCTCTCACCCTGGCCCTCTTGGCCTCTGGTTGCCTCTGTATTGTCTTGCCTGGTTCAGGCTTTAGTCCCTTTGGCTTTCTGCTTGCCTGTCTTGTGTCCAGCCCTGGCAGGGCTTAAAACTTCCCATGCCCTTAGGCCACTCCTTTGACTCGCTCCTGTCCCTGGCAGGGTTCACTGATGCACCTCCCAGGCACCCCTGTGAGTATAAACCGAGGTGTGCCCCTCACACACCCAACTGCAGCCTCCACATCTCCCCTTCCAGCAATACATGGTCTGCCAGTGTAAAATGTAGCATAAAGGCAGGCTATCATCTTAAAAAGCTCCCTGCTCTGGGTAAACATGAAAGAGAAAGGTAAGCTGTCGCTTTAGCAAAAGCATCGCTCTGCAAACACCAGAGCAACCGTCCTCCTGGGTTCTCACCGCTCTGCCTTTACAACACTCCAGCTCCTGCAAGGGTTTCTTGGGTGGCTGCTCTTTCCGGAGAGCTGGGCTCCCTGCCAGGCACTTTTGCCTCCAAGGAGATCTAACGGGGGTCGCCACCTAATCTGAGTCAGATGCCTCACAAGCCTGCACGGGTGTTTGCCTTTAGGGCTAACAGGCAGCTGGGTTGTCCTCACAGCAGCTTGCTTTGATTGTGCACAGCCCTCAGCTCAGCTGCTTCCCTCTTCGCCCAGCAAGCAGCCCAGCTGTGCCCCCTCTCCCCACCTGGCAGACTCCCTGTCACAAGGTTGGACAGCCACTGGTCAGGGCAGATCTAGGTGCAGTGATGCCTGTGCTCTACCGTGGCAGTGCTGTCCAACCTCTTGGCCCCAAGGGCCTGATGAGTAGTGTGGGAGCCCATCTGTGCAGGCCCTGGGCCCCACACACCAGGAGTGGGACCCAGGAGTCTGACACCAGCCCCTCTCTGCCCTGTGCACCAGGACTGGGTCCTGGGTGAGCAGCACCACCCCCTCCCACTCCTCTAAGTGCTGGGATGATGCCTCTGGGGCCCCACGCAGCCTTGCACAGGGGGATCAGGTGGCAGGTATAGTGCACAGGGTCCGGGACTCCTGTCAGTGCTCCTTCTGGGACTCACACATCCAGGCTAGAGGGTTCCCCCCCGCCAGTCATTTTGGTACAGGCTGTGGGGGGCCTTTGCCTTTCTTTGTAGTGGGGACCGTAGTCTCTTCTTGGGACTTCTTGACCATATATTAACCCCTTTTGCAGCAGCCGTGGGCCCCCTGCTTTCCCGGTGGTAGGGTTGGGTGTTATGCCTTGTGTTGTGTCAGGGTGACTGTGCTGCTTCAGTACTAGGTCAGACAAGGATTTGTATAAGATGGTTTGGATAAGGATGATTCTAGGATGTGAATGAAACTTTCTCTAGCATCTGATGAAGTGAACTTGGGTTCATGAAAGCTTGTGCTCTTTCTATATATCTTAGGTAGTTAGTCTAGAAAGGGGCATATCCACCCTGCCTTCAGATGTCACAGCTATCCCCTGCATGTCCTCCCCATCCCGACATTGAACAATCTTATTTTGTATTGCAGTTCCTACCAATTTCTGGCAACAATTCAGGCTCACTGGATTTTAGTGCCCTGACTTTCCCTTGGAGCCCTCTTTAAAGACTGGCATTGCACTGGCAACTCTCCAGTTCTCCGGTGCAGAGACTGGTTTTAGTGATAGGTTCCTGTAACAGGGGCGCCTCTTTGGGGTCTGTCTACTGGTGGCCCTGCCCACCTGTTATGGGCCAACTGCCCACCTTCTCGCCTGCCATGCCTTGTTGTTAATTGATTAATAGATGTAATTAAGCAGGATGCTGCCCATTTCCTACCCCGATGCCAGGGGGTGCTATCTGCGGCTCCATTCCTCCCCTATACCACAGCCCAAGCCTTGTAGATAGTATTTGTAAATTCCTCTTTATGTTGGAGTCTAGGCCACTATGGGCCTACCCCTTTTTTCTCTAGCTAGGCCTGTCAGTCAAAAAACCAACAACCCACTACTCAGGGTTTGACTCCCAGGCTCTAGCTCACAGAACCCCGCCCCCTCACTCAGGCTCCTGCCCCTCTGTGGCACTGGGGTCTACTCACCCCTGAATATTGCGCCCTATCTAGCACCGGGGTCCGTGCGCCCCCAAATACCGCACCCTCTCTGATGCTGGGGTCCTCACACTACTGTGGGTCCCCTATGAAGCCTCCCCCATCCCCTAATAGCCTCACCCAAACCACCGGTTAACATTAAGCAAGGGAGGCAACATGCCTGCTTACTTTAGATGATCGTGAGGATGGCTCTGGGCATGGTGTATTCTTCTGACCAAGACTGCAGGTGCAGCACCGTAGTCATTGGGAGTCTGCCTCTCTGCTGCCCCTCTGTCCTCCACTCACCATTTGTAAGGTCCTAGCCTTCCTCTTCTTGTCACCTGACTGGCTGGCAGGCCTTGAGCCTTAACCTCTCCCTTCCCGGCTGGCCATGACTGGAAGGTTCTGGACTTAAAGGGGCCACCCTGTCTCTTAGTAACAGGGTTAGGGTTCCCTGTTACAGTTCCTTACTGAAGTCATCAGCTCCAATCTATTGAGTTGAAGCTCCTTTGGGACTTTTGGGTGAATATTGTCCAGTCCTAGTGATTTGCTATTGTTTAATTTATCAGTTCTCTCTAACCTTCTCTACAGACACCTCTGTCTGACTCTGTTTTATCCATCTGTCCCCTCAAAGGAGTGGCTGGGAGATGAGAATCTCCCTAACGTCTTCCATAGTAAAGGTCAATTAATTTAGCTTCTCTGCAGTGGCCTAATCTTCCCTGACTGCTCTTTTTACTCGATAATGTTCCAACAGCCCCACTGCAGCCCTGGCAGGCTTCCTGCTTCTCATGCACTTAACTTTTCTATTATCCTTATGTTTTACATTACTAGCAAGTTAGTCTTCAAATTCTTTTTTGGCTTGCCTTATTGTACCTTCCACTTTAGCTTACCGGGGTTTATGCTCCTTTCTATTTCCTTCATCAGGACCTGATTTTCATGTCTTGAATGACATTGTTTTGCACCTAGCACTCTCCTCTATTCAGTCATTTAACCATGTCACCTCTTTGATTCCCTCACTCTCTTTTTTGCTTTGCAATCTTTATTTTCCCTGCACTTCCAATCTGGTATTTTTAAGCATGCTGCCTGCAAGTTTTCAACCTTCTTCAATGCCCCTTTTAATTTATTTCTATCCAGCATCCTCATTTTTGCTTAGTTCCTCTTTTTTTGAAGGAGACAGGATACCCCAGTCTGCTCACTGCACCTCAGGGAGCACACAGGGAGCAATGATCCCTCTCAAAGGATGCTTGGGTTTCTTGCCATATATTGAGTAGTGCTGTGGCTAAACACCATAACTTAGTTCATGTTGTATTACAGGGATGGGGGTGGGCCAGTGGAGGGACTCTTCATCTAAGTGTGATGAGAACAGAGTCTTCTCCTTCTCTTCACAGCCATGTCAGCAGAGAAGGAAGAACCCAACCATCCAGTTCAGAAAGACCCTGGAGAGAAAGAATTGGCCAAGAGACTTCAGGAAGTTGGCCTGAGTGCAGACTACTGGCTACCCAAACTACAAAAGCAACTTGGAGTCACCAGTGCACAAGTCTTGAAACACCTGAGGCAGGAGGACTACCTGCAGCTGGAGCATGATGTGCAGTATACTTGGGAAAAGCAGGCCCTCCAGGAGCTCTTCAAGGGGGGCATCAAGGCAAGAATGAAGCAGCAGCAGCAGGAGCGCTCAGATTTGTTAAAGAGTGAGCAAGAGCAGGCAAAGGCAGCACTGAGGGATCTCGGAGAAATGCAGCAGAAAGGCAGAACCCGCCATGAGGCAGCTGTACAAAAGAAAGAGGAGGAGCTGCGGAAAGCCATGGCCATCCCTCTGCAGTACTGGGTGGCATCTGAGAAGCCTTTGGTGGAGGTGATAGAGAACATGCAGAAGCAACTAAACGTCCTGGAGGAGTCGGTGTCCAAGGGGGAGAACATCCCCGACGAGGAGGTGCTGAGGCGGGCATCGGGAGGGCTGGCCCTGCAGGGCATTTACAGAACAGACAAGCTTGAGGACCTGCTGGAGAAGAGAGAGCCGCTCATAACCGTCCCAGACGGATTCAAGCTCTCCGGCCCAGACCAAGGGCCCCTGTTTGAGAAGAAGGAGTTTTCATCGTCCAGAGCAGAATCCACCTTCACCAAGGCCATGGAGAAGCTGGGTTTCAGCACAAGTGTTGCAGCCAAAGGTGGATACTGGGGTTTTAGTGCCGAAACCAGCACAGATTACAGCACAGCTTCAGAACACGAGGAAACCCACAGGTCCCGCTCCGAGCACATGTACATTTGCACTGCCATGTGCAGCTACATCCCTCTGGCCTCCTGCTACTTCCCAAAGGACCAGCTTCGACTGTCTAATGCAGCACTGCAAGAGCTAACAGGGATCGAGCAGCTTCTGAGTCACACCCCGGAGCCAGACAGGCTGGAGATGCTGAAGAGCCGGTGCAGGGGTTTCTTCACCAGATTCGGGTCTCACGTCAACCAGGGCCCCCTCCACTTCGGTGGGATCTTCTGGTGGAAAGCGTCTTCCGAGGGATTTCGGGCAGAGCAGCTGGACGAGGTGAAGAAACAGACGTCGGATGCCCTTGGCTCCTACATAGGAGGCAGCTTCACAGGCTTTGGTTTCAGCGTTGCAGGTGGGGTGAGTGTCTCTAAATCAAGTTCCAAAACATCCCTTCAAGGCACAGAGGCAAAAATATTCAAAGCAGAGATTCAGCTGTCTGTGACCCAGACAGGCGGCCCAGCTGGGGTAGATTCACACCCATCATGGAGATCTGGTTTAGTGGCCAGTAACAAAACCTGGTGTGTTATTGACCGAGGCTGTCAGCTGATTCCAGTGTGGGATGTAATCCTGTCCAACCACAGACAGGACTTTGGGGATGTTTATGAGATGAGCAGAAGTCTCATGAGAGCCTATGAAGCCCTTACAAAGCAACGGGCAAGTATGTTGGTGGGTGAGCAATTAATAAGTGCAATGGAAGAGGCCAGAGCATTTTTGGAGGACATGAAGTCCTGGGAAGTCACTGGGGAGGAAGAGCAGCTGGTGAAGCTGATACACTTCAAACAGAAGCTGAATGACAAAACAAAGGACAACGATGCCTGGGTCAACCTCTGCCTTTCGGACAAGGTGCTTCAGGATTTCCTGGCAAATACAGTTTTGCTGTGCCAAGGCTCGCCTGCCCAAAACACCATGTACATCAAACACCTGCTGCAGTGCCTTCTGGAGCCTTATGCCCATTCAGTGAAGCATTGCCCCCAGTTTTCCTCCATTATGCAGTGGATCTCTCATGCTGAAGAAAAACATCAGGAACCTGTCTGCATCTCAGAATTTGCTCATTTTATCAAAGCCCTACAGCAACTGCAGGATGACATGGAGGAACCCAGCCTTACGACCTCTTCAGCAGCAGTGGAAGAAGCAAAAGTAAAAGCTAGCGTAAAGGTGAACTTAGCTTTGTGCTCTTGCCTGAAGGCCCTAGGAGAGAGAGGGCAGGCAGACATACAACTGTTGTTACTCTCCATTGCAGTCAGCATGGGATATCGTGTGGAAAGCAAAACCTTCAAACATCTCCTTGGCTGTTCAGAGATCAACTTTATGATAAAGGAAATGCAGAGAGCTCACAAGCGGTATTTGACCCTGAGGGATCAGAAGGCTTCCCAAGCTCATGCTTTCCAGCTGCTGACAGGTCTGACCATAGCGCCTGAATTCAAAGATGTGTCTCCAGAACAGAAGCGCAAAAGATTGGCTTTTATGAAGCAACACATGGGAAACTCACTGTCAACTGAAGTCTGTCAAGTCCTTGCAAAGCACCATGCATGTGATGACTGGAGTGCACTGGAAAGAGACCTGAATTGCCTTGTTAATGGAGAGCTTGAAACTTCTCGTGGTGACCTGCAGGTGCAGGCTATAATAACAGAGCTAAGTCAAGTCTGTCGAGGGGATAAGCAAATACACTCACCTAAATTGCAACCCAAAGGGCCTCCCTGCCAGGTTGACCAGCCTGAAGGTTCCCAAGTGCAAGACTTTCTCCATTTGATCCAAAGGCTTGGACTTGAAAACTACTATCCAAGAAAAATGGGGAGGGCAGATTTCCATGTGATTGACAAGACCTTGTTCCAGGACAGCTTGCCCCGCACTGACAGCGAGCTCCCATTTTATTTCTTGCAAAAGCTGCTGATGGTGGATTATCGGGTAAGGTACCTGGTGTGCAAGGATGACAGTGAAACAAAGAAAGGCATACCAAGCACATTGAACACCATGGCCAATATGACTGAATCATCTAATGAATCCTCAGATATCTATGATGACTTTTTAGAAGAGGGCAGTGAGGGCACTCACAAGTCTGCTGCACCACGACAGGCACATGTGCACCCTATGGACATCCAGATGGCCATTTTTCACTGTGCTGATGATTTCACGAGACAATACGTTTCAACAAAACTTTCCTTCTGCCAGTTTGCGCTCCCTCTCCTGGTGCCAAATCCTTGCACTTCAAACATAGAGTTCCCCCTCTGGTCCCTTAGCCAAGTTCAAAAGAGCTGGAACGGTATTGAGAAAACAGGGCTGGGGACTAGCATTAAAAATTATAAGAACAAATTGATTTACCAGGTAGACACCCCTGTGGTGTCCTTCATGCGGATTGGGAATTCTTCTTCTTCCAAGTCTAAGATCCTAAATGCTCTACTGAGTGAACACAAACATGATATTTTCTTCCACCGTGACTGCAGAGGCAGCAGCAAAGACTGTCTCCTGATGGGAGGTGTTGTGGAAATCTTCTGGTACTGTCCCAGTGGAAAGGATGATGACAGGTTTGACAACTGCATTGCATTTACTAATCTTCATGGGGATGCAAGAGAGCACAAGCAACAAGTTGGATTTTTACAGGAGATCTCTTCTCTGAATGTGCTTCTCCTTACAACATCTGATGAGAATGAAGTAGGGAAGCAACTTGTCCGGGATCTCCTGAAATCTCCGAAGCCTTTTGTGTGTCTTTTTACTGAAAAAGAGAATATTGTAGCTGGCAAATCCAACCTGAAGATAAAAATAGCCCTAAAGAACAGAAACGAGGCAGAATTAATTGATGAGCTTGCAAAAAACATCAAAGATTTACTAGTGGGTTCAAAACCTTGCAGTCTTAATGCTTGCTCAGAAATCGCTCGTCAGCATGGTTTCCTCATTGATGAAGACAGAGACGAGTGCAAGGAAGCCAAGGCAATGGCACAGACACTGATAGCCCTCTTCAGGGAGAATGACTTACAAAGGATGAAGGAAAACCTGTTACCTCTGCAAGGAGAATTGTGGCACAAGTGGTGCAAGAAAGACAAGGAGCTCACTGGCTTGGAAGATAAAAGGAACAAAAGCATTGAACAGCACCGCAGTGATATTGAATCAGAAAAACGTGCTATACGAGAAGAGCAGCTAAGGAGAGCATTCCCCCTCAATGATCTAATGAGGTCAGTGCTTGACATTATCCAATCTCACTCAAAGACAATCAGGAAATACTTCCTGCAGTGGATGAAATTATTTATGGATGACTTGTCATCCGAGTGCCTCACAGAGCTCCACCAGAAATATCATGTCTCATGGTCACAAATGAAAGGAAAAAAACATCTAGAAAACAATGACGGCTCAGAAAATCTAGTGAAAAGTAACTTGGAAAAGCTCTTACTGGACATAAGTGCTTCCACAATTGGCCTTGAACACATTTTGAGAGAGATAGGGCAGATTTATGAAGCTTTGGATATACTGCCTCAAGTGGATAAACGTTCTTATGAACTGCCACAAATAGCTGCAGACCTGATGGTTTCAGGGTATCCCATCGAGCTGATGGACGGTGACGCTTCCTACGTGCCACTAAAATGGGTCAGAGCAGTTTTTGACAGAGTGATAGAGAAGCTGGGGGACAAAAAGGTGTTTGTTCTCTCGGTGCTCGGCATCCAGAGCACTGGAAAATCAACGCTGCTCAACGCCATGTTTGGCCTGCAGTTCAACGTCAGTGCAGGGAGATGTACAAGAGGGGCATTTATGCAGCTCATTAAGGTGGACGAAAAGATCCAACAACATTTGAACTTTGATTACATACTAGTAGTTGATACTGAGGGGCTTCGGGCCACGGAACTGGCCACTAAATCAACACTCAATCATGACAACGAGCTAGCTACTTTCGTCATTGGCCTCGGCAACATGACTTTGATCAATATATTTGGGGAGAATCCCTCAGAAATGCAGGACATCCTCCAGATTGCCGTGCAGGCATTTCTGAGGATGAAGCAAGTCCGCCTCTCCCCCAGCTGTTTGTTTGTGCACCAAAATGTTGGAGAAATCACTGCAAAAGAGCAGAATATGGCAGGACAAAGACGCCTGCAGCAGAGATTAGATGAAATGACGGTGACAGCAGCCCAGCAAGAGTTTTGTGATGTCACCTGCTTTAGCGACGTGATCCGATTTGATGTGAACAGCCACGTCCACTATTTTGCTCACCTGTGGGAAGGAAACCCACCCATGGCCCCCCCAAATCCCAGTTACAGCCAGAACGTGCAGGAACTAAAGAGCAAAATTCTCCTGGCTGCCAAAAAGGAACCGCGGGGCAGTGTTTTAAGACTGTCGGAGTTAAAAGTGCGCATTGGGGACCTGTGGAACGCTTTGCTGAATGAGAAATTTGTCTTCAGCTTCAAAAACACCCTGGAGATTGCAGCATACAACCGGCTAGAAGCCACGTTCAGCCAGTGGACCTGGGAGTTGAGGAGTCACGTATTAGTCATGCAGACAAAACTAAACAATCTGATCAGCAAGGGAGAAGTCCAGTGTGTCACTCGCAGGAGCCTTGAAAAGGAAGTTCAGAAAAAATACGATACCATCATGAAAGGTACTGAAACATACTTCAATAAGGACCAAGACTATGAGTTATCGATTCAGTGGAAAGCAAGTATTGAAAATAAACTGAAAGATTTGAAAGAGTCGCTGATAGAAGAAACTAAGAGAAAGTCTGAAGAGCTGATTGAGCTGAAGAGGAAACAGAGCAAACTTGATGGGAAGAAGTCAGAATATGAAACGGAGCTTTTTAAAAGGAGCAAAGATTTGGCCCTGGGTTTAAAAGGTAAGAAATTAAATGAAGAAGAACTCAGAGGTCACTTTGACTTTCTGTGGAATACATGGATCTATGAAGTGTCTTCCAGTGCTCCTCGTACTGAGGACCCGAACATAAGCAGGGACATAGAAAACATCTTCCTAGAACATTTTAAGCAGGAGCCTAATATTGAAAAGAAAATTAACAACTTGTCCTGCAATGATACCTTTTCCATTGATGAGTCCAAGCATATCATCATGAAGAAAACACGATGGCCTTTCAGTAAGACTCTGGATAAGAGCGACAGAAAGAACATTGAGCAGGTGGGAAGCCACATCATGCAGCTTGTCAGCATGAACATTGACACAAAGGAGCGTGAGCGAGCGGGTTACAATCGGAACTACATTCATGAAATACTGAATTTAATACGGAAAGAGGTGGAATCTGCATCCCATAACCAAAAATATACCTTCGTTAATGAGTACAGAGTAGATCTATCACTGCATCTGTGCCAAATGGCAGCAGAGAGGTTTAAATACATGCACACAGTCTTTAAAAAAGCAAACGATCCAGCTTTGTACCTGGAAAGCAAGCGAGAAGATTTCTTCAAGTGCTTTCAGATTTCCTGCCAAGGCGCCACCTCCATCACAACGTTTGCTGATTTCTTCTGCCTCAAGCTTTCTGCAGCGCTTCGCCAGGCAGTGTACAACAAGACTGCCATTAGCATCGCCGATGAGATGAAGTCCAACCATCCAGCCTTCAACGGCAATCGATCCAAACTAGAAACCCACATTCTGATATACCTGGCAGAGGAGGAGAACTTTGAGAAGTACAGGCAGTACATTCACTTCCCCAGGGATTTTTTAGAGGGTTTTATCAAAAAGTGCATTGAGGATTATTGCTTGGATAACAGGAGTCACAGGCTGAAGAACTTCTTAAATGTGTCCCTTGATTTTTTCCAGGCTCTTCTTCTTTCAGCTATTTACAGCTCAACTAGAGTTGTCAAAGATAAAAATGGGAATGTCTCGCTGTGGCTGGATGAGTTCTGCAGCACACTCGGAGATAACTTAGACCTGCCCAGAAGTGAGCTGAAAAGCATTGAACATCAGGAAATAAAGGACACTGAGTTTCTGAAAGAGGCCGTGAGTCAAGCATTTGCCCCTGTAATAGAGAACCTGAGGCGGGAATTTGCTGCAACGGACATGGGACAGTTCACACTGAAACCTCATCAAATACTGGTGGACCAGTTCTCTGGATGCTGGGAACAGTGTCCCTTTTGCAAAGCTCTGTGTACAAACACGATACTCGGTCACGACGGGGACCACAGCGTTCAATTCCATCGGCCTCAGGCCCTGAATGGCGTTCAATGGGACGGAACAGACCACCTGGTCATTGATATATGCTCGAGCCTTGTAGCAAGTGACTGCTTCATGGTGCTCCATGGAAACCAGCAAATCAAGTACAAGAATTATCGAAAAGCAGGACCTGCTTATGCCAACTGGAGCATCACACCAGACAAATCCACTCAGGCCTACTGGAAATGGTTTGTGTGCCATTTCCGGTCCATACTGGAGGAAGATTACTGTGCAAAGTTTGAGGGCAAGGGAGCGATCCCTCCAGCATGGGAGGCCTTTACAAAAGAGGCTGTAATCTCTGAGCTGAGACAGTAATAACTGTTGGGAGGCAGGGCATGTTCACATGAATTGAAGCTGCTGCAATCTGATGGCTGTAACAACCCAGAACTCTCTCAGCTGCTTGGGACCATCTGGTCTGCTCAGGTGGAAGAATCTGATAAGTAATCACATTTGGAGGCAGAAGAAAAAAATTTTAAACACATTAACCATGTACTGATGAGGAGCGGAGTAGCAGGGAAATGGAGGTTAGTATTCATGTCAACAGCAGAATAGATGGCATCTGGGAAACACAAAGTTGGCTGACGGTGGAAATTTCCTGGTGCTGAAGAAAACTGCTCCAGAGCAGACCATGGGATTGTCTCTGTTTTTCCTCATTCTGAATAAATGACCACTCCTGATTGGGGTTGCACCATAATAAAGACCAAATGGATCCAAATTGCTGGATGGTTGAATCTCTTTCTGGTTGTGACCTCACTGTAGCCATCCTGCCATGCCAGGGAAGGCCAGAATGGACTTTAACATTCCTATATCAAACAGGCAGTGAGGGGAGGCCATTTCAGCGAGAAGCCAGTAGAGCAATTCACTTAGGGGCAGATCCAAACAAAGGACATGAGTGGTTCAGATGGAATTGGTGCCTAAGCCCAAGTGAGCCAAAGAGCCCCCTGCCTAGTCTAAGATGAGGCATCTTACAGGTCACAGGAACTGATGGGGAGGTTTATAGTACATTTTGAGTGAGACTGGCATAGCTGCTAGCTCTCACTCTAATGTTGCCCTCCCTCAATTGCTCGCCTGCCACATCTTGTTCTTTAAAAATAATGAAGGTTGATTAAGGGAGGCTGCCTGCAGGCCTTAGAGTGAGCCTTAGGCTGGGAAAGTCTCTCCCAGGTCCCTTCCTAATCTCAGTTGGGCACTTAAACTACTTGGGCCCTCTTGGCCTATCTGTGCCCCTCTAAGGCACCTGTAGCCTTAAGGGCTCAGTGCATGGCTCCGTTCTTCCCTACATCATGCCCCATGCCTCGCAGGTGTTATCACTTATGTGTTAGCTTTACACACTTAGCCCCTTGGGCACTCAGACTCCCTGGTCCCTCACTCAGCCCTTCTTCTCTGAGCTCTCAGACAGCCTGGTCCTACATTCAGCCCCCTCTAGCCTCCCAGACCCTTTGTCCTATACATAGCCCCCTCTCTTTGGGCTCTTAGACCTGTGGTCCTATGCACAGCCCCTCTCTCTGGGCTCTTGGGCTCCCCGTGCCAGCTTTCTGCCCTTCTCTGGACCCGTGGACCCTCTAGTCCTGCTCAGGGCTTGGGGACCCTTGGGTCCCATTCCCAATCTCCTTGTTTCCTGTATGTCTTGCTGGGCCCCACTCTCAACTTCTGAGCACCTTCATTCCTGGCTGGACCCCACTTTCTCTGGGCTTCTCTAAGGGAGCCTTGACCCTGCCCCAGCAGGGCTCGAGGCTAAGCCACCAGGACAACTTAGTAAAAGAGAAGTTTGGGCCCCTGGCATGCCACAAGCCCTCCCTGGGTCTAACATAAAATCAAGGGCACTTGCCTGTATAAATGAGCCCCTACCTATCCTAGGTACCTTTCTCTTGTTCTCCGGACTGCAGCATTGCTTGCTCGGTCCCACGATCAATTCAGGAGCTCTGCTGTTCTGCTGCTAAGGGTTTCTCTCTCAGGTCTCTCATGACTCTTGGGGCAACATTGCCTGACCAGCACAGACTGAAGTGAGTCCATAATCAAACCCCCTCGCCACCTGCAAGCAGCTTTTCAGGAACAGGCACACCCCAGTGCCCTATTCCAGGGAATGGGGAAGAGGCTGGGACATCCCAGCACAATGTGCCTTGTTCCACAAGACGCTTGCATAATTTTTTTCCTGGGAGTTTCCCTCCACACCAGCATGTGTGGAAGCATCAAAAGACTTTCAGGGAATCCTCAGGGCTGGAGGGACAATAAGTCCTCTGATCTGACCCCCGGCAGCAAGCAGCCATGAACTACCCCTATCGAGCGTGTACCCAGCATTGTCTCAAAGTGCTTAACTGTCAACTTTTCTTTAACACACACACACACACACACCTCCCTGCCACAGATATTGTGCTGTCCTGAGCCAGCCCCACCACTTACTAAACCAGGCCCCTGGGCTCTGCCTGTTGGTCACCTGGGCTGAGGTGACCCCATCAAGGGCTGACCTCTCCCCCATCAGGGGCTGATCCACAGCACCCGGCTGGGCTCCAGGCTACCACCATGCAGTCTTATCCCCTGCTCCCTGGATGGCAGAGTCCAACTCACACACTGGATCCTGCTGGGCTAAATGAGCTACCAGATACCAGAGGGAGGGAGGGACGGAGAGAGGGAGGCATGCACGGGGCTGCTCTTGGATTCATAGGCATCTTGTCCAGAGAGAGAAGTTAAAAAGAGCAGTGCAACTGCTGACAGCAAGACAGGAGTCACAGCCCACAGCTGAGACACAAATCCTTGCAACCACCTTCATTTAGCAGAAACTTCAACCAGCTGCGTCCTCCACCTGTCCCCAGGCACAAGTGCCCCTGAGAGGGCCTGATGTCGGGCAGGGAGCTAGGCAGTGATGTCATCACTAGGTCAGGATGGGAAAGTCCCCATGTCACACTCCCGCCACCTGTGACCTCATAAGGCAGCCCCTGACCCTGCCCAGCTGCACTTAGGGCATGAAATACCCTAGAGCAAAACCTACAGGGGGATGTATCCTCTGCTCAGAGCCAGGTGACTCACAAGCCCTACTATGGCAAAGACGTCATTTCCCTGCTTGTGAGAACTCATTGCACAGGGGCAGAAGCTTGACACCAAGAATGGTTTTTGGTTTTGAAATACTGTGTGGTGCCTCTGTCCATTGGCTCTCTGGTGTCTCCAGGCCGCTTTTGTAACACCATTTCCAGGTTGTCTCTCCAGGCAGGCGGACTTGGCACTTGGTTCTTTTACTTTTTCTGTGGAAGATTTCCAAATTAGTCACTGGCAGCGGGGGCCTGGAAGAAAACAGAGGAGGTCGTAAGAGAGTTGGGATGAAACTGCATGTTGATACCAGTGCACACAAATGATGGGGCTGGTCCCAATGGGGATGTTGTTGGGCAGTAACCTGGGGTGTGGACTCCCAGTTGCTCCAGCCTGGGCCCAGTTTGCCCTCTGACTATAGGTACCCTGTGGCATCAGCATTTTGCTTCAGGTCACTCACCCTGCTCAGACAGTGCCATCTGCTCCCCATGCTCAGCGTGCACACAGCATGGTTGTACAGGAGGCCATGAGCAAATGTACAGCCAACTCACACCTAGCTCCTGCACAGGAACGTCTCACCGGCACACCAGCTCCCTAGTCACAGCACATATGTCCACACCTGCCTCTTAAGAGCCATCTCCCCCACGTGCACAGACATAAGCCAGGGCTGCTTGGCTGCTGGGAGGTCTGCGGTGCCAACATCCCACCAACTCTCTGATCTGCCACAGACTCCTCAGGGGGAGACAGGGTGGATGTCCCCTGGCACGAGGGCTCTTTTAAAGCAGCGGCGTGTAATCAAGGGTGGGGAGAGGAGTTGAGTGGAGCCTACAGTTCACCATGAGCAGGGCTGGGATGCTTCCCCGTAACACTGGTCATGGAGAACTGGAGACTGGCAAAGAGATGGAGGACCCTGAAGATGACAGACCAGTATAATAACACTGATCCCCCATAAAATCCCAGGACAAATCATTCCACTAGGTGTCAAGAGAAGGGAGTTCATGTCGAACAGGGGCTGGGTGGCAATGACCTTGACTCTGAGAATGGACACTGACCCTCTGCAGTACATCATCCAAGGGCAAAGATGCTGAAGGTGTTTTGTGGCGTAACTTTAACACAGAAGAGAGAGACTTCCTCTCAGGGCACCTGCTCCCTCTTCACATGCCTCAGCTTCCAGAGGAGGGCTGGAGCAGGGCTAGGACAACATCTAACCTGGGCCTGGTGGGTAGAGCGCTTTTCTGGACAGCTAGAGAAGGAGCTTCAAAAGGTCTTTGGGTAAAGGCAAGTGGGGGACGGTGCTAAAAACCAGGTCTCTCACTCCTTGGGCAAAACGTGAGACTGTTGGACTCCCTCATGGGAGGTCTCCTCCTCTGCTTCACTTCTGGCAGGGCACAGAGATGGTGTGTCACCATGAAGAAGTGCTAAACCCGGCAGCAGCCCAGCAGTGCCTGCAATTCAGGCACATACAGGGACAACGGGTGTAGCCCTGTGTGCTCAGCCTCAGGCATCCAACCCATGCATTTTATGGAGAAGTAACTCAAGTACAGAGAGCAACTGACTTGCCCAGTGGCATGAAACATTACCATTTGGAATTTCTTCTGAAACTATATTATGAAATATTTCATTTTCAGTCAATTGATAATTTTCATCTTAGGCTTCATTTTTAGGATACATTATTCCTAAATGTTTAATGCAAATATCTAATACTATATACTATGTCTTTAATTTATAAGCTAAAAAGCTAAGCTAAAAAGAAGCTTTCAAATGCTCTAACAATCTCCAAATGAAACCTGTCTCCTTGAAAGAAGAAATTTTGGGAAAATGGATATGTTCCCGTTAATGTTTTGATATTATGTTCCACCAGTAAATTTCTGATGAGCGCTGGGACATTTATTCTACACCCAGAGCACATGCTATAGCAATGCTCACAGCAGTGGGTGATGACCTTTTTGGCAGGCATGTCAAAGCTAAGCCCCACACTCTTCCCCAGGTGCCAGTCCAATCCCTTTCCCTTGCCTGATCTGTTGCCCTGCTGTCTGCTCCCTGCCCGATCTGCCCCATGCTGCACACACAGACTGGATGTGTCAGCTGTAGTGCATATGCCCTGGATTGGTAATTTCTGGTTTATAGTTGTCCACATCTGTACTTTGCTAAGCATTTCTGTTTGCCAATGAATGCACCAAACTGGATTATTATATTCCACTATTCTGGGAAGCAAAACTTATTTGCAAGCTCTGTTTCAAAACCTCAGTTAAGTTAGTTTTTTAGTAAACAAAATTTGATAAGCTCAAGCAGGTTTTTTTCCCCAACAAAACTTTACTAGGAGCTTCATTTCAGAGGGCTCTTTTGGTCATAAATCACATGGCCTGCTTTTACTTAATCCAGGACTCTATAACATACATGAGAGCATCACAAACACCCTCGTGGGTGGAGGTATTTCTCGGGACAACATAGCACCTCGAAATTCTAGAGCTGTGTCTTGTGTTAAAAACTAATAAAAAGGTGAAGACCCACCATTGATGGGAGTCCCCAGAAACCCTGAAGTCGTGTCTGCAGACAGCGAGGGTTTCCATTCTGGGCTGAGATCCGTCCTCTACAATTGCTTTTCTTTACAGCAGTGATGTCAGTACAAGGCCTGTTCCCCCAGCAGGTCCCTGGGCTCCCACAGGAATGAATGCACGGAGCCAGG